TACAGTATGCAAGTTAATATAGGAATAAAGTTTTTATTTCATCATTATTCCATCTCATGCTACACTTCACACATCACATTAAAAGTTCAAAAACCACCAGTTTTAACCCCCTAAAGTACAACATGCAAATGTTACTCATTACTCATTTCTTATTACTACTTAACTTAACATATTAGTTTCATAGTAGTTACTGAGTTACTTACAATTGTTAATAATGCTGAATAAAAAGCCCAGTTCAATAGGTAATATTCAATAACTACTATGAATTATTTGGTAGCTGCACTCTCTGAAAAACCTTCCAGGGTACAAGCACTATCACTATGGTGATGCCATCAAGGGTACATCTCCTTGACTCCAGGCTTTTTACTTCATTTTTCTACTTGAAAGACTATGCTTAAATATGCTTAATTTGAAGCAAAAATAAATGTAATGTATCTTTAAACTCATTTAAGGCATGCAGTTGTACCTTCAGGGCCATGTTATACCTTTGAGGATATGTTTAGATTGTTTGTACACTGAGGGACTAAAATGTACCTGGACAGTACCCCTGGACAGTTTTTTGACGGTATACTATACAAATTGCCACTATCATAGCAAAACCTTGTTTTCCTGCATGACAACTTTACAAAAGATGTTAAAAAGACTTATTACATGTTACATTAAAAATTATTTAATGAATTCTAATGTAACAAAATGACTTGAGTAATTTAACTTAAGTAATTTAACAGGTTGGGAGGCAGTAAGAAAGCCATATAAGCAAAATAAGAAAAAAAGACTTTCCTGGGCCAAGAAGCACCACCAGTGGACTACTGAAGACTGGAAGAAGGACTTATGGACCAGTGAAAAAAAGTACAAAAAGATGGCTACCTTGATGAGTTAAAATTTTTTATAAAGTTTTGTTTAAAATGATTTTATGATTTCTTTTTTGTCTCAAGATGTTTATTTGTTATGTGCTTTTAATTGCAGAGTATAATGACACATTATGTACATGTACGTGGATGTACTGCAAATTCGAGGCAATGAACTGTGTACTACACTTCTGGGGTGAGTAATGGGTTGTGTTTAATGTCAATGTGTTTGTAAGTAAGTGAGGGGGGTCATGGGTGAATAAAAGAGGAATTACACTGATTTTTCAGAATTTCTCCATAAATCTTCATGATATAAACAAAATCATTCAGAGTGCTTTGGTGTAAAATGATCCTTTCCAGAGAAACTTACTGAGGCATACTTGTTCACAGTGGTGGTGATAGGAACCAGACGTCAGAAGTGTTTAATTTGTCTAAAAGCCATATAACATTAAGCTTTTACATGAAATAGCTTCGAATTTGATGCCTGATGCCAGAGTCATTGTTTCATGGTAGTTTTGAGCTTTTGCACTAAAAATACGTACAGGGCGGCCAGATGCATTTTAAGATATGTACATGCTTGGATAGATGCCTGCAGGGAGATAGAAGACAAAATAGTTCCCAAAGGAAACAAGTTTTTTTTTTATGTACCGTTATGTTACCCACATCAGCATTACATATAAAACTCAGAAGACATGTGAAGTTTCTCTGGTGGTTTTGGATATTAAATAAAATGGCTATATTAGTGTTGTAGACATTATGACTCCTGGTTCCTGTCACCACCACTGTAAATTGAAATGTCTCGGCGAGTTCCTCTACAATTAACCAATACACTTAAAACTGCTCTGAACTGAACTGTGGAGAAAAGTTGAAAAATCGGTGGAATTTCCAGGACCATTTTGGACCTTAGCAACTCTTCAATGTATCATAAGATTTACTCTTTACTCATTCAGATAAATACACTGATTATTGTCTTCATACATGTCATTCATATCCTTGACTTTTGATTGACTCGGCATGTTCAGAACATGAGCTCTGATGCTGACTGGTAGCTGTATCGGATGCATTTGAAGTTGGAACCATACTTACAGTAAAATGTTTTAGAGCTGAGCTGTGCAAAAAATGCTCAAAAAGAAAAAGAAGTAACTCACAACAGCAGACTTTGATAAAAAAAAAAAAAACATGCAAATAATAGTGTGTTATATGACGGTACACTATCATTTGTAGAAGACCTGGGTGTTGTGCTGGAGAGGCCTAATGGTTTTACTGGGAAGGCTGCCACACAAAGAAGCGACACAGCGCAGTTGGACAGAATGCAGCTACAGCATATGTTTAGATTCAGGATACGTTTACATTTAATATTCTAAGTTACAGTCCTCATATAGCTTTATTAAAACGTTTTCGCACAGCTTTTAGTGAACTTATCACATTTTGTAACAGTTAACTAACTTTTCACTCTTTGCTGTTTCACTGTTATGTTCAACTCTGCCTAACTGAAAAATCTGTATCACAGTACTGCTTTGAGGCTTGAGCTGACGTTACCTGTAACTAGTTCAAGTGATGAGTGCACAACGGTGTCACTGAACAGGCTTAACCATTTTCCTTTGTTGCTTGAAAGTTTTAGAAATGTACTTGCCTGATCAGCTCGTATATCATTATTCAGCTATGTAGGCCATTTAGAATTAAGGTTAGGCCAATATGTGTGCTGAATAGTGTATCTACTATGTTCTAACTAGGCCTGGGATTGATAAGTAAAGAGGAATAAGGAAAGAGAACTGACAGAGAACTATAGAGGACTAATTTAACTTTAAACAGCTAGCAAAATAATGTTAAATGATATAGGCATCAGGTCCCTTTTATGGTTAAAACTATTGATTTTTATGGAGCATTAATAGTAAAAACATAGGCTAATCATTCCAGGGAGGATAAAAATAGTTCACAGGACAACAGTAAATCTGTTTTAGGATGCTTTAAGACAATGAAGTGACATAAACTCAGAAACGTGCCAGTCATTCATTCATGCCAGTCATATACATAGTGTATAATGCAGAAAGCTTTAGCCAATGATTTATCAGATGTCACCTAAACATTGAAGGCATGCCCCATTTAAAAATCATATAAACTGTGAAAAAAAGGGAGATTAAAATAAATGTGAGAAATGGTAATGTGATGAAAAATATATATAGATGAATAACTGATATAAAGTGATTTTTTTATTTTATTTTATCATTTGGAGATTTTAGTAAATAATTAAAAGCTTTTTAAAACTATAATTTCTATAATTCATACTTTGAGATCTGCAACAGTTTCAAACGAAGGTATGTAATAGTACTGTAAACAAAAGCCATTCGATATTTTAGATGGCGAATTTTCAAATTCAGATGTCTTATGCCATTACTTGAATTCATTTCTCATTCAAACCGGAATATAATTGTTAGATTAGTTGATTAATTGAAAAAATAGTCAATTGATTAACCAAGTATTGAAATAATCATTAGTTGCAGGCCCATAGCTAATTACTTAAATCACGCAGGCCAAGTAATTCCTCTCCTCTCTCTTGCTCTTTCTCTCCCTCTCTCTCTGTCTCTCTCTTTCTCTCTCTGCTAAGGGATGATTTCCTGTTCTTATGTTATTCAACAGTTAGCTACCCATGATTACATTCAGTGTGGAGAGCTGAAGACATCATTGCATACTAGTATTCCTATAGTCTTTTTGAAACAGTCTTGTTTTTCTGGTCAGAAGAGTTGTAGCTTGTTATTTTAAGGCAAATGTAGGATCTGAACAATTATTGAAGACCAGGTACCACAACCCCACTATGGTTCCCTGGATTGATATTATTTGGTTAGTGAAAATATTGGATCAAACATTGCAGTTTAAATTCAAATTGTCCTGACATACTGTACCTCATAAACGTCCTGTATCAGGCATTGTGGAGTCTTCCACAGCCATGCCACCCTAGAACCACATAACAACACATCTGATGAAATTTATCCATGGTCTTCGGCACGCTGTAGTTGAACAACAGCATTAAGAACAGGAGCAACTAGAGTGTATTTGCTTTGTCATAATGGACGGTTTAATGACAATCCACAGTTTTTAAATGTCTTCCTTCTATCATATTTACTTTTTTTTCTCAGCCATGTTGAGGATTTTGTTCTCAAAGCTCATGGCAGTAGAAGGAATTTGACAGAAATCCATATAAATGTGATAATAGTCTCCACACTATGGTGACCGCCTATGATGACACAGCTATGTTATCCGAGAGAACTGTGTTTCTCAAGAGTTACAATGCATACCCATACCATAAAACTTCATCCACTATGTTTATTTCTTTGTTTACACTTCCTCTACAACATTTCCAATATAAAACATGTAACTACTGAGTTATATATTTACTTCTTCAGAAACTGTTTTTGATAATTGTCAAAGATTGCTGCTTACAGAGTAGGTCTCTTGTTCTTTTCATTGACATTTACTAGCATTTTTCTGCCATCAACAGGGCAAGAAGGAGGTAGTTTTTATGACTTGATGCAAAAACAGGGTGGTTTGTGGTTGAATTTTAGGAGGGACAGTTAGGTGTTTCAGGCATAAATTTCTTCCAGACGGTATTATGAGAGAGAATCCAAATTCTCATATTCACACTTTTGCAAAAACTTGATGAGCAGGCCTTGAGCATGAGCCATCACCTTTTCATTTAGTCACCATAACAGAATGGACTTAATGAGTGAAAAATGTGACAAAGATTAAACTAAGTAAATATGCATTTTGCACAGGAATTACATTTGACATGTCATTTGTTGATTTTGCTCTAGGTTGTTCCAAGGATTTGTCCATGCAACAACATTGAAATATTTTTCTGTGTTTTATGATTGTATTAGAAAAAGCTATATGTAAGTAAAAATATTGTTACTCATTTGACCAAAAGTAGCCTAATAAAACAACGTACCTACTGCAATGTAAAACATCCACAGAAAAGAGCAAAATTACACCTAAAAGAATAAATTTCCTATAGTAGGAAACTGTAGTGCAAGTTAAAGTATTATCATTGGAATATCACAGTTTCAAAACTAGTACAAGTTACTGTGAGTGTTATTAACAATTTCATGTCAAACCACAGACAGAAGTTCTTTCTTTTATGGTGTATAAAGATTCTGGTTATGGGATCACCCTCTTTAAGTGTAGAATCTTCAGCAGAGCATGTCTAATTTCAGTAGTTTGCAGGGCATATATGACAGGGTTCAGAATACCTGGGCCAACATGGAAAAGCAGCGCAGCTCCTTTCCTGTAATCTGCATAACCAGAGAAACGATGGAGTATGATCATGGTTAACGCAGATGTACACATGATGACATAGACAGTCAAGTGTGTGCTGCAGGTTTTCAAAGCCTTGCTGTTCAAAGTTTTGTTTTTACGATTAATACAGACAGCTGTTATTTTGGCATAAGTAAGTGCAATGCATCCCATAGAAGAGCTAAGGAAAGCTACTGTGTATATCAGGCCATATACATTATTAATGTAAGGATTTTCACATGACAGTTTGAACAGTGATGCATTATCACAGAACGGATTTTCTATGAATATTCCACAGCGATTCAGCCTTATTGTCAGAGCTAACAATATGCTCACACAGACTAGTGCTACACCCCAGGCTGATGCAGTCAGTTTAACCACCATTTTGGTAGTCATGACAGTTGTATAGTGCAGTGGATTACATATGGCAACATATCTGTCAAAGGCCATAACCATGAGTACAGTGTGAGAGGCAACAACATACAGGTGGAAACCAAAGGCTTGAGCAACACACTCAGTATAACTGATGTAGCGTTCAGATTTTGGCCTTAAAAGGTCCCCAAGCAACCGAGGGAAAATGACAGAGTTTCCAAATGCATCATTAAAGGGAAGATTACAGAAGAGAATGTACATAGGTTCATGTAGGCTTCTTTCCATTGTTATGAGCAGAATGATTCCAATATTAGCTACCATAATGAGCAGATAGAAAATGAGAAAGAAAAGAAATGTAGGATACAAGGTTTGTTCAGGGACAACCAGTCCCTCCAGCTGTAAAAAAGGACTATTAAATGTCACATTTTCCATTGAGAGGTGATACGACAGCTGTTTGAAATAAGAAGAAGGCAATAAGATGTTGGAAATTTCAGTTGGTTAATAAGCAGAAACATATATTAGTGAGCTTTAAAACTTTGTTGTTTTATACATTTCTGTTCTAAATATTTAGTCCTCATTCTTCAAGATACATGATTCTTTCAGTCCTTATTCATTGAGAATTCCAAAAATGTTTTTTTTTTAATATAAATTTGTTGTGTTTATATAGTTGTTATATAGTTATACATGTAGTGAACAGCTCTATAGCTAAGTAATTAGGGCAAAATCACTGAAATTTAAAATGTAACAGCAATAACAGTTATTTTTTAGCCTTAAGAAGTCATTAAGATGTCTTTACATGGTAAAAGTTGGTAAAAAAACATTTTGGGTCATTGTTGTTTCAGTATTAAAATAATATGGGCAAGTCCAGCATTGATTATTCATTTTCTGGTAAAAGAACATCAACATCAATGTAAAACAACAGAACAATTATTTTAGACACCTGGCCCTCCATCCTTATATTGACATGCTGTTTAGCCTCAAAAGAGCCTAGGGGATGTCTAAGGGAGTGTCTTTACCACAGGTTGTGTTTCAATCTAAATATAACTCAAAACGTCTGATGTTGTGTAACAGTTCATTGGCTTATGCACAATGTAGAACACAAAGTTTAGTTACACAGATGATTTCATTGCCTTATAACATATTCCTTTCTCAAGGAAACAGTATGACGTAGGATATTAAAATGTATTACCCAACATTTCCATACTGAATGGTTGACTTGTGAGACATTTTACCATTTCATCAAAAACATTAACTCATTTAGAACTTGGTGGCAGCAGCGCATCTCAAAAAAGTTGGGATAGGCCCATGTCTGCCACTGTGTAGTTTCCCTTCTTCTTTTCACAACAGCCTGTAAACATCATGAAAAGACCAGTTGCTGGGAGAGGAATGTTGTCCCATTCTTGTCTGATGTTGAATTCTAGCTGCTCAACAGTCCTGGGTCTTCTTTGCCGGAGTTTTCGTTTCATGATGCACCAAATGTTTTCTTTTGTTGAAAGGTCTGGAATGGGAGAATATGTTGTTCTAAAATATCTATATACTGTTCAGCATTTATAGTGCCTTTCCAGATGTGTAAGCTGCCCACGCCATAGGCACTAATGCAACCCCATATCATCAGAGATGCAGGCTTCTGAGCTGTGTGCTGATAACAAGCAAGTCCGTCTCCTTTTGAGTGTGCAGGATAAAGAAAAAGAATTTCAAATTTGGATTCAATTCATCTGTCCATTTTAAATGAGCTTTGGCCCAGAGAAGACAGCGGCGAATCTGGGTTGTGTTGACATATGGCTTCTTCTTTGCATGATACAGCTTTAACTTGCATTTGTGGATTGCATGGCAAACTGTGTTTGCAGACAGTGATTTCTGGAGGTGTTCCTGAGCCCATGCAGTGATTTCTAGTACAGAATCATGCCTGTTTTTTTTAATGAAGTGCCGCCTGAGGGCCTGAAGATCACAAGCATTTCTTGTCCTTTGCATACAAGGATTTCTCCAGATTCTCTGAATCTTTTGATGATGATATGTACTGTAGATGGTGGGATATCCAAATTCTTCACAATTTTACTTTGAGGAACATTTTTCTGAAATTGTTTCACTATTTTTTAACCACAGTTTTCTGCACATTGGTGAACCTCTGCCCATCTTTGCTTCTGAGAGACTCTGCCTCTCAAAAATGCTCTTTTTTATACCCAGTCATATGAGTTAGTTGCAAATTGCTCCTCCAGCTGTTTTTTATTTGTACCAATTACTTTTCCAGGCTTTTGTTGCCCCTGTCCCAACTTTTTTGAGATGCGTTGCTGCCTTTGAGTTCTAAATTAATTAATGTTTTTCATGAAATGGTAAAATCTTATATGTGTTCTGTGTTCTATTGTGAATAAAATATGGGTCTATGAGATTTGCAAATCATTTCATTCTGTTTGTATTTACATTTATTTACATTTTACACAGCATCCCAACTTTTTTGGAATTGGGGTTGTAGCTGATAGATTAACAGATTAAGGAAATAATCATTAGCTGCAGCCCTAGTACTAATTATTTTTAGATTTCATCGAGGCCTAGTTCTGACTGGTTTTTAAAGTTGGCTGCAGGGCATGTCTGTTTGGTGGCTGTCTGTCTTCAACTCTCTCTCCAGCACACACACAAAACACACCTCTCAGCCTCTAAATAAGAACATAGTCCAGCTGTTGTGTGTATGTAAACGCAGTTTATGTTTCTCATTATCTTTCATAAAATTTGAAATTACATGCTTTGTCTCTTTTGCTCTCTCTCTCTTTCTGCTTAGGGATAATTTCCTGTTCTTGTGTTTTCCAACCGTTATAGTAACTACCAGTAATATCATTCCGTGTGAAGAGCTGAAGACATCATTGCAGACTTGTTTTCCTATAGTCTTATCAAAACAGACTTATTTTTCTGGTCAGAAGAGTTATAGCTTGTTATTTTATGGCAAATGTAGGGTCTGAACAATTATTGAAGACTAGGTACCACAACCCCCCCTATGATTCCTGTGCTGATATAATTTGGTTTGTCAAAATATTGGATCAAACGTTGCAGTTTAAATTTTAGTTGTCTTGACATACTGTACCTCATAAACTCCCTCTATCAGCCATTGTGGAGTCATCCATGGCCATGCCACCCTAGAACCACATAACACCACATCTGATGGATTTCTTCATGGTCTTCGGCACGCTGTAGTTAAACAACAGCATTAAGAAAAGGAGCATCTAAAGCGTATTTGCTTTGTCAAATGGGACAGTTAAATGACAATCTGCAGTTTTTAAATGTCTTCCTTCTATTATATTTCCTTTTTCTCAGACATGTTTTTTTCTCAAAGCTCATGGCAGTAGAAGGAATTTGAGAGAATTCCCATTAAAGTGAAAAGTCTCTATTCTATGGTGACAGTCTCTGATAACTAACTCCACTATGTTTATTTTTTTGTCCACACTTCCTCTACAACACTTCCAACATAAAACATAGAACTACTGAGTTATATATTTACTTCTTCAGAATCTGGTTTTGATAATTGCCAAGGATTGCTGCTTACAGAGTAGGTCTCTTGATCTTTTCATTGACATTACAAGCATTTTTCTGCTATCAACAGGGCAAGAAGGAGGTAGGTTTTTTGAATTGATGGTTGAACATTAAACAGGATAGTTAGTTAGCTGTTAAAGGCATGAACTTTCTGCCAGACTGTACACTGTTAGAAACAAAGGTTCTGTGCAGGTACATATTTTGTTCTTCAAGGTACAAACAATGTAAATGTACGCTCAAAGGTACAACAGTAGTTTTAGGGTCCAATTGTGTACCTTAAATAAGTTTTTCCCAGGTGAAAATTATGTATTTGTGCTGTTTCACAACCTAATGTTCGAAAACAGAACAAATAAATGAAATAAAAAGCCTGAAGACAAGACGGGGTGTGTAGAGTCAATACGATAAAAAAATGTATAATTGTGGTACAATTATATCCTCTGACTAAAGGTACTGATACCATTGTGGTTACCACCCCAGTGACAAGAAGGGTCCTGCCTCAGTGTCAGTTTAATACCTTTTTTCTGAGACTGTATTATGGGGGAGAATCCAAATTCTCAAATTTACATTCACACCTTTGCCAAAACCTGACAAACAGGCCTTGAGCATGAGGCATCACCTTTTCATTTAGTCAGCATAACTTTAAACAGAATGGACTTAATGAGCGAAAACATTTGACAAAATGTAACCTTAGGTAAAAATGCATTTTGCGCAGGAATTACATGTGACATGTCATAATAATTTTGCTGTAGGATGTTCCAAAGAATTTTCCGTACAACAATATTGGATAATTTGTCTTTATTTTATCACTGTATTAGAAAAGGTCATATAGAAGTTTAATATTGTTAGTAATTTCACTAAAAGTAGCCTAATAAAACAACTTGAGTAAAAATTCGTATGGAGTCACCTTCTGCAATGTAAAACATCAGCTGAAAAGAGCAACTTTAAACTTTAAAAAGAATACATTTCCTTGCAAATATACTGGAGTGTAAGTTAAAATGGTCTCATTTGGGCCAGCTCAGAAAAGTAAAACTCAGAATTAAATACACCTGAGGATCTGTGACTAGTTACTACCTAATATAGTTTGGTCAAGTATACATGGACAGCATATGCAGCAAAGACAGAATTTCACAGTTTTAAACCTAGAACATATTGCTGTGAAATTTATCAATTTCAATTCAAACTACAGAGAGAAATTCTTTTATTTATGATATATGAAATTTCTGGTTATGGGATCATCTTCTTTGAGCATAGAATCTTCAGCAGAGCATGTCTAATCTCAGTAGTTTGCAGGGCGTATATGACAGGGTTCAGAATACCTGGGCCAACATGGAAAAGCAGCGCAGCTCCTTTCCTGTAATCTTCATAACCAGAGAAACGATGGAGTATGATCATGGTTAACGCAGATGTACACATGATGACATAGACAGTCAAGTGTGTGCTGCAGGTTTTCAAAGCCTTGCTGTTCAGAGTTTTGTTTTTACGATTAATACAGACAGCTGTTATTTTGGCATAAGTAAGTGCAATGCATCCAATAGAAGAGCCAAGTACAGCTGCTGTGTATATCAGACCATATACATTATTAATGTAAGGATTCTCACATGACAGTTTGAACAGTGATGCATTATCACAGAACAGATTTTCTATTAATGTTCCACAGCGATTCAGCCTTATTGTCAGAGCTAACAATATGCTCACACAGACTAGTGCTACACCCCAGGCTGATGCAGTCAGTTTAGCCACCATTTTGGTAGTCATGACAGTTGTATAGTGCAGTGGATTACATATGGCAACATATCTGTCAAAGGCCATAACCATGAGTACAGTGTGAGAGGCAACAAGATAGATGTGGAAACCGAAGGCTTGAGCAACACAGTCAGTATAACTGATGTAGCGTTCAGATTTTGGCCTTAAAA